ACAAATCAAGGACATAAATTAATTAGTAAGTTTTTGAGTTATAAGCCAAGTTCTTAGGTGTGTAAATATTTTTGTCATCCCCTGTATAAGTGTTGTAAATTATAATTTGGATATAGAGATGATTTGAAAGCAAGATTTTTCACCTAAGCTTAGAGACAACCTAGTAGAATAGAATCAGAATAATCTTTCATATTCACAAAGAAAGCTAGTCTTTTATACAAACAGATTATTATACTCAGTCAAGAACAAGAAGAAGGCCCTGATCACATGAGAATAGGGTTTTGCAAATAGATCAAAACGAGCAGGAAGTAATTAAAGAAGGTTTTGCAAAAATTCTAAATTGGTCATCATTAACTAAACCAGAATTGTTAGCAATCTGGCTAGTATTACTAACAACACTAAGCAGAAAAGAAGTTAAAATTTATACAGATAGTGCAGCAACAATTACAAGTATAAAAAAAGGAAGAAATATTATAACAAACAAATAATAGTTAAAGCTTAAAAATTATGATTTAGTATATAACATTGTAGAGTTAGTTAAAGTAAAAGAGATTCAATTAGAATTTGTTAAAGTAAAAGGTTATAGTAATAATAGATAGAATAACAGAGCAGATGGTTTAGCTAAAAAAAGTACTATGTTGGATAATATAGATAGTATTATTTTTTAACCCTACTTAAATCTAATATTTCACTATTCTGGGACAAGATATTCATCAAATATCCAGCAAGAAAAATAACTAAGACTCTACTCAAATTCAAGATAGGTGTAGACTAGAGAGAATCAAAAACAATTCAAAAAGTCGAACCAGAAGAAGCCTACAAGAAAAACAACTAGACTTATTTATAGAAAAAAGTTAAAAAGAGTAATGGTATTAGATACACAACAATAAAGAAAAGCAAATACCTTGAAACTCTATTCAAGTGTGCTAATGAAATACTTCTAGTACTTGGAACACTATTATAGAAATGCCCAGATCTGTATCAAGATTCAAATTACATTGTTTGTGAAGAGAAGATAGTAGAAGATTAGGATTATTTAGCAAGATATAAAGAACAAGAAATCAATTAGAAGATTGCTAAAGACCTTGCAGCAAGTCTAGCTTGGGTAGCTTTATCAGAAGAAACCAAGAGAAAAACTGACAAGAAATCTTTAAAAAGAACACTTTGGAGAGAATCAAAAGAAGAATCCTTCAAAGCAAAATCCAAGACAATTAAAGGTCTAGTTCAAGAAAATATGATAAAAAAGATACAGAAGTTCTTATAGTCAAGTAAAGAAGCCAAGACATATGTTGAGCTCATCTTAAATACAATATGAAATTGTTTTCACAAAAATATTTGGAAGGGTAGATACAAACTCTTTCACAGATAAGAAATTTGCAGAAATATTTTAACCAAAGATAAAAAACAAAAAAGCAAGCTATTAATAGAAGAAAAATAAGCAAAACCAAAATCTGATAAATCAAGATTCAAAAAAGGTGGTTTGAAGCAAATTAGTAGTTTAAATAAAATAAATAAAAAACAAAAAAAGAAAGAAAAAGAGAAGGTTTAAAGAATATAGAAAATCATTGGTTTAATAGCTTTAAAAATTTAATTCACAACTAACCTGGTATTAGCCTTATAATCTCAAAAAAATTTTTTAGACCAGTGCAGCAGACTGCTTTTAGATACCTATAAGATAGCTAGAAAATATTAGGTCTAAATATTAAGCTCAACATTATATTGTATATTTATATAATAATCTTAATAAAGGATCACTGGCAAGGTTGCCAAAATTTTTTAAAAAAAAAAATTATTATTAAAAATTTATATTATTTTTTTATTTAAGTTTTGTTAAATAAGTATTTATTTTTTGATTCTTTAAATTTATATAGTGTAAGATATCTAAAGGCTTCACAAACTTTAAAAGCTAATAATATTTGATATAAAAACAATATCACAAAAAATATACTACTATTTTGTAATTTAGCTATTTTGCTACAACTTGGTAACCTTATTTTTTGAAAAATTATTGTATAATTTTTTAATTAATAAGTTTAAAAATATAGTATTTTATATGATACATAAAAATTTAGCCAAAAATAGGACAAGTCTCTTATTTTTATTGGCTAATTTTAAAATTAATTTTAAAATACTGTATATTTTAATAATTTTTAGCCAATCAAAATACAAGAATTCACAAAAACATCAAATTTCAATATGAAATTTTTGAAAATAGAACAAATTTTATAATGTTGTCTTTAGATGTTCTGCACCATATAATTACAAGAATTTGTACTAATACTAACTTGTATATTTTTATATATACAAATACAGTATTTTATAATCTTTTAATCTTGTTAATACTTGTCAGAGATAAAGCTTGGAATCAGATAATACTAAAAATTTGGGTCTTAATTTAAAAATATAAACTTTACTAAAATCTATATATACTCTTTTATTATAAACTCTAACCCTAAATTTTATATTAAAATAATCTAAATTTTTAGCATTATCCGATTTTAGGCTTTATTTCTAATATTTTTTGATTTGATTGACGAATAATCACATGATTTGTTTCTGCTTTAAAAACTATCTAGCATCTAGAATTGGGGTATGAGTTAGAGAGTATATAGGGGCTTTGCAGTAGAAAAGGCCTAAATGCTATATGTAATATATATAGCATTTAGGCCTTTTCTACTACAAAGATCCTATATATCAGAAAGCATGCTAAAGTATACTTTCTGGCAAAAAAACATGCCCTTATACTGTATTATGTGATTTAAAGATACAGTATATAAAAAATTATCACACAACTATAGTCTAAACTTAATTATATTTATTAGTTTTTCTAAATAAATTTTATTAGATTTTTATTTTTTTTATCAAAAATATTAAAATAAAACATTGTATATAGTAAATAAAATTAAAATATTTAAAGAGTATAGTAACTTAATAAAGTGATTAAGTTGTATTTTCAAGTATATAGCATGTTGCTTTAAATTCTATTGAATATTTTTGCTTGTATTACTATATATTTACTATTTTTTCTGTATTTGTAATTTTGGTAGTATTGTCGGGGGGAATCGGATAAGAATTTGGATTATTTTAATATAAAATTTTAAAATTTTGAGCTATTTTTTTTAGCTTTTTTTTTAAAGTTAGGCTAGAATTTAGGGTTAGAGTTTATAATAAAAGAGTATATGTAGATTTTAGTAGGGTTTTTAAATTGAGACCCCAAATTCTCATCATCATCCGATTCCAAGCTTCATCCCCGACAAGAAATATGAGTGCCTCCGCTTTAGACGTCCTCCAAAAATGTCCCAACTCATGTCCAAAGCTGTCGTCTACTGACAACACTGACTATATATACTGTGTATTAGCTTTTTTTTTTTTATTAAACCAAACTAATAAATGTTATTATAATAATCTATCATTCTTACAGTTGAAAAAAAAACTCCGAATTAGGAGTTAATTAGCTTTTGCTTAAACACTGTATTTTACTATATGTAAATATTATATTATGTATAGAAAAATGTATTAAAAATATATATATTAATAATTGCTACAATCTGAAAATTTTCTAACAATTTGCTGCTTAAAAGTGTATAATACATTCAGATCGTATAGAAGATAAATAACGCATTCTAATTTCGTCATTGAACGGTGCAACGATTTGACATAAAATCGAAATATTGTACGTACATACATCAGAAACCCAAGAAATTTTTCGCGCCGCCGAGTCTTATCGTTGTTATAAGATTCCCAAATGGCCAAGCAGCCCAAGCACAATCAATGATCCAAGTTAGTCAGATGGTCTCAATTTATTTGTGGCACGATTTCTTGAATTTTTTGCTGCCGCTGCTAGCACTGAAATACATATAAGACCTCCCGTCTGTCTGTAGTCTACCTGTCCTACCCAATCCAACCATACTAGTACACACTTCTAGTGCACATATCCCCCAATTTTTTTCTTCTTTTTTTTTTTTTTTTTTAAGCAAACGCTTTTAACATCACGGCGTATTGCTGTCCATATTTTACACAAGGTACTAGTGATTGAAGCATTATTTTACTTGTTCTATTTTGAGTTTACTTGAGCTACCACAGAAGTTACTCTATGTTAAGCTCTCAAGACTAATATAATTATATAATGGCGATGGAAATCATAAACTAAAAAGCATTTATTCTTGTACTAAATTCAAAATAGGCACAATCTGTCTGTTCATATAATATATAATAGCCATGGAAGACGAAGTCGCCGCTGTAAGTAAGACTTTCTGCTCAATATGCAATGCGTTTAGTAGTTTTGTGTGGACTTTCACTTTAAAATTTCAATTTTGGCGGTTTAACTTATTGGATACCCTATTTAGCAAAATTTTAATATCAATATAATAGACCATTTTATTCTCGAAAGTTATCAAATTCTTTTACAATACTTTTTATGCTAAATTTTTCATTTACATATTTCAGCTTGTTATTGACAACGGTTCCGGCATGTGCAAAGCCGGTTTCGCTGGCGATGATGCCCCACGCGCTGTGAGTAACTTAACTTATTTTATTGGAGGATGCACAACCGATTTCATCAAAACCAAATATGTGTTTTATTTACTTATTATGATTCTTACGCGACATACTCTGATTTGAACGTAATTTTTAGGTTTTCCCTTCTATTGTAGGTCGCCCTCGCCACCATGGTGTAATGGTTGGCATGGGTCAGAAAGATTCATACGTAGGGGATGAAGCTCAATCTAAACGTGGTATCCTTACTCTTAAATATCCTATTGAGCATGGTATCGTAACGAATTGGGACGACATGGAAAAAATTTGGCATCATACATTTTACAATGAACTTCGTGTTGCTCCCGAGGAACATCCTGTGCTCTTGACTGAAGCTCCGCTCAATCCTAAATCTAATCGTGAGAAGATGACTCAAATCATGTTTGAAACTTTTAATGCGCCTGCTTTTTATGTTGCAATTCAAGTAGGCTATTATCAATACACCCACTATTCATTTTATTCATATTTCGTGTTGATTAGTTAAACTAATACTGATTTCACGGATAGGCCGTTCTATCATTGTATGCATCTGGTCGTACTACTGGTATTGTTCTTGACTCTGGTGATGGTGTCACTCATACTGTACCAATCTACGAAGGTTACGCTCTTCCTCATGCTATTCTCCGTCTCGATTTGGCGGGTCGTGATTTGACTAACTACCTTATGACGATTCTTATGGAACGTGGTTATTCATTTACAACCACTGCTGAACGTGAAATTGTTCGCGATATTAAAGAGAAACTCTGTTATGTTGCTTTGGATTTTGAACAAGAAATGCAAACTGCTGCTCAATCATCTGCGTTGGAGAAATCTTATGAATTGCCCGATGGTCAAGTTATTACTATCGGTAATGAACGGTATGTTATTTTAATTACTGGATTATTTTTGTTTTCATTTATTCGGTTGTGTACTTATATGTAGATTTTTTAACCTGTAGTTTCCGTGCCCCAGAAGCACTTTTCCAGCCTTCTTTCTTGGGTATTGAAGCTGCTGGCATTCATGAAACTACTTATAATTCCATTATGAAATGTGACGTTGATATTCGTAAAGACCTTTATGGAAATATTGTTCTTTCTGGGTAAATTTGTTTCAAGATTAATTAAAAATTATTTTTATCGAGTTAAACATATTGGATTAATGATCGATCTGCCTTTTATATATCATAGAGGTACTACTATGTATGCTGGAATTGCAGATAGAATGCAGAAGGAAATTACAGCATTAGCGCCTTCTAGTACGTCACGATATAGAATTATTTTACTATCCGCTCAGTTTTTAATTCGTTCCCTATATTAACGTGATTCTGTTTTTTTTCAACTTATCATAAAATTAGGCATGAAAATCAAGGTAATTAATTCATAATCTATCATATACATAATAATATATATATACATATTTATTTATTTATTTATTTATCAATCTTGGTTTTTAACATTTTATGAATCCGCTCAGATTGTTGCCCCTCCAGAACGCAAGTACTCTGTCTGGATTGGTGGTTCTATCTTAGCTTCTGTGCGTATATAACCTATTACCCATTTATTTTTTTTCCTGCTGTCTTTTCGCACTAACATTCGTGATATCTTTTTAGCTTTCAACTTTCCAACAAATGTGGATTAGTAAACAAGAATACGACGAATCTGGTCCTTCTATTGTTCATCGCAAATGTTTCTAGATAAATTATATACAGTTTTTATTAGTTGTGGTTTTATGGTTAAGGTTTTTTTGCATTATTATAGTCTTTATATTTTTTTGGAATGGTAATATTTTTAAATTTTCAAACGAACTCAGGAAACATTTTGGACGTACCAAATAAAAAGATATTGTAAGAACCAACCACTTTGCATTGTTTCACTTACCTATTGCGTGTTAAATAAAATTATTTATTTTTAATGAAATAAGATAAGCATGTTGAAAGTTTTTTTGATTCCTAGTTACACGAATTTTATATTTCTTATCCTCTAAACCATTTAGCGCGCAAATTCGTCTGTTAAAATTTTTATCTGATTTTTTGCCTCTTTAACTACTTTTTCTAAGCGATAACAAATGCAAATTTTTCGTCTCTTTAAATTACCAAGATATGAGCTTGGTCCAATAGAAAGGGGGTGTATATCAATAATCGATCCAGAGATATATGGACCGCGACTGCGGCCCATATACCTCTGACAGATATTTGGTTCGATCACTGATATACATCCATATTACCGTACCGATATTTTTTTCCACCATACGATAACGGTATTATCGTCCGGCTATTGTTACGACTGCCGCACCAAAATTTTGATCATACTATTTGTACGGTTGAGTTTTAAAATTGTATCAGATAGAGCAGATTATATTATTGGCTCTGTTTAATAAGAATTTTAAAACTCAACCGTACAAATATGATCAAAATTTTGGTATGGCAGTAACAACATGGCCGTACGATAATGTCCAATATGTAATAACAATACAAGTATACGTATAACTTTTAATATCCTGCCAATATATTGCATGCTATGTTTTATTACTAAATCTAGGTACCAATAAAATTATGGTTAACATTGGACAATGTCCATGAACAATATTTATAGATACTGTTCAACGTCCCAATGCATTTGATTAGTTGATGAACGTCGAACAATATTCAAATATTCACTAACCCAATTCATCCACTAGAATCTAGTTAATAATATATATTAAATATATTCGATCAAAAATCAGTACATAATAAAAATGCTGTACGTTTTTATTGACTATATTTCTGGAATAGAAATTTTTATGCACTAAATTGGCTTTGTGGATTGCGTTATATAAGTGCTGCCAAGAAAAAAAGGCTAAATTTTATGATCGAAAATATAAAAATTTTTTATTTGAATTTTACAGATCTGTAAAATTTAATATATATAGTTGAAATATTTTTGATTAATAAAAAAATTTAATAATAAAGTTTAAAATTGCTTTTTTTTTTGGCAGCATTTATACAAGTATTTTATATTTTCAATTTAAATTCTTATACAGTCGTCCTCCTATACAATCACACAGTTGGGGCACATAGCAAATTTTTTTTAAAATGTGCTTATATAAGAGTTGTGCTTATATGGTGATCTTTTTCTTATAAATTAAATCATAGTTTGGCCTAAACATAAATGTGATTACATATGGTGTGATTATATGGGAGATGAATATATAGAAGGTATTTGTTTTTTAATAATTTTATTGTATTCCTTAAACTATATTCTAGGCAAATTTATTTAGAAAATTAAATTATATTTAGTATTTTTTAAATAAAATAATAATTTATTAATGATATAAAGTATATATTTATTATAAAATATATTCTTGAAAACATATTTTATAAACTTAATTATAAAAATTTTTTAAAAGAAATATTATATTCATAATATCATGTTAATATAACATTTTTATGTTTTACTTAGAATTAGGGTCCAGTTTTAAAATAAATAAAGATTTTTTATTATATAATATATATTAGACATAAGGTTCTAATAGGTCCCAATTTCAGTTTTTATAAGGTTTTCAAGGGTGTTGAACATTTTTACTTAGAGTACCTATACTTATTTACTTAGCACGTTTCTGAAATATAGCATAAGGGTGTTATATAACACAATATTATAAATATAACTGTCCTTTGAGTTATAAAATTTTAAAGTTTTTGTTTAAAAATTTTTATTATTGAAATTTTTTAAAATTTAACTAAATTTAATTCTTGGTTAAAATTATAAATTTTAACTATCTTTTATTTTTATAAAATTTTTTATATAAAAAAATTAGACAATTACTATTTGTATACAGGGTGTTTAAATATTTATTACACAAAACAAATAGAAAAACAAATCAGCTTGGTAGATCACAAGATATCTTCGAAAAATATTTTGCTAACTATGTAAACTTCTCTTTCGATAATAGTATTATTGAAAGAGAAGTTTTTATAGTCAACAAAATGTTTTTCAAAGATATCTTATAATCAATCAAAATATAAATTAAATGCAGTATACAAATCATTTTTGTATAACAAAAATAAAAAAAATAAATAATTGATAATATCTTAAAATTTTAATTATTAAACTATCTTTTAGACTTTAAGAAAAAAATTCTTTGCAAAATTTTACTATAAACTATACCTTTTATTAACTCTAACCTCTAATCCTAATCTTAATATTAATTAAAAATATTATTATTTCCTTGTATTTTAATAAAAAATTAATTATAAATTATACCTATATTTCAAACACTCTTATATAAGATTAGTAAAATTCAAAAAATTATGATTTAAGATAGGGTGTATATAGATCATTTTTCATATAATTTGTATAGTATATTGAATTTTTATATAGTAAATAAAAAAATGCTTTTGATTAAACTTTTTAACATCTCATTTAATTTTTATTAAATTTTTATAATATATAGTTTAAACTAGTTAGTTTATAATAGTGAAGTTGCAAAATATATATTGTTTTAAAAAAAATAAACTTTATATATAATCAAAGTTTTTAAA